CCACATTGCCGAACGACACGACGAGAGTTCAGAGAGCGAAACCCCGGGACGATCGTCGCCATTTCGCCGGAGGAAACGTCCCGGCGCGGTTAAGAAATGTTGCGAGTACCGCGGGGAAGCATTTCAGAAATGCCGCGGGTATTCAAGTATTCCCGGCGTCCGCGCGCGGCGGGATAAGAGGGGGTGAGGAGGTGCGGCAAGGAGAGAGAGGAGGGAAAGCGTGACGAAGAAAGAGAGAGGAGGCCGCGATACAAATGTTAGCGCGACATTAGCTGCCATGTCTCTATCTCTTTACACTTTTCCACGTGCGCGAACACGAAATCGGTTAATCCGAGCGCGGCCGGGAAGGACGACCGGCGGAGGACGGGCGCGCGCGAAGTCGCGCGGAATGGCGGGCGTTCCGGTTTGTCAGTACCGCGCGTACGGCATGCCGCGCGGCTTGTTTCCATTAATTCCGCGTTGCGAGGCGAACTCGCGCGCCAACACGTCGGAATGCCCGCTGGGGTCGTCCGGGTTATAAAAGGCGAGGCGCAGCAACCTAATTTGCTACATTGTCGCGAACATACTGCGCGCGCGAGCGGCCCCGCGCGAGATATCGGCTGTAAATAAGCCCTCGGCCCGGATCCCTCCGATAAGCTAAATCCAATTAACCCTCATCACTTTAGCACGGCGACGCGGTTCGTTTTTGTCGCCGAAATCGAAAATCCGACGCAGGCGCGCGCGCAAACGTCCTTAAAGCTGCGCGTCAAACGAGCGAGAGAACGAGACTCTTGCCTGAGGGGAGATATGCGATTTCGCGATACATATCGCAAACACTGATTTTCTTTCCTTGAATCGCAGTGCGATACGCAATTGGATCTCTATCGCAAAATCGCGCCGGCAATTCGAAATCATTCGTCATTTTAGTTAAGTACACAGAAAAAAAGGATATTCTTGTTCGAAGAATATCTTTATCGTTGACATTTTAACAATGAGACTAGTGTTAAAATGAAATTATATAGCGTTGAACGAAGATAAATTAGTCTTTAGTCAAGATGAATATAATCAAATTAACACAATTATTTTCTCATAGAATATCACAATATTAATGTTCTTGGTTATATATTATTGGTTTTCAATCAAGACAAATATAATCAAATTAACACAATCATTTTCTTATATATGTATACATGGAAAAAACAATTCTGTTGGTGCAACCGAATTTTCGGTTACTCAGAAATCAGACGAAAATTCGGCTGTAGGAACAGAATTCCTTTATGAGGCTTCTGTATAGTAAATTATTCTCAGTTGTCAACCGAGTTCTAATATCGTTGAATGTTTAGACGAATATTTTCAGTTGCGGCAACAGAAATATTAGTTTTTATAACAGAGATATCGCTTCGGATCATCTAATTTTCAATTAGTTCCTATTTGGATGCACCAACTGAAATTTTTTTTGCGTGTAAGCAAGAATATTGTTGGTTTATATGAGAAAATTATTGTATTAATTTAACTATATTTGTCTTTGATTGAAGACAATCTTTAATTAACGCTTTAATATAATCTTATTTTAACAATAATCTTACTTTTAAAATGACAACAATAAAGATATTCTCCAAGAGAATATTCTTTTTTCCCAGATTCCCTTATGATTAAAAATCGCGTTATCGATACAAAATGGCGCGCGATTTAAAATCATATTTGTAATATAAAATTGTGATGCGATATTAAAAAAGATCGCATCGTGATACATAATTTTATAAGTCTCACATCTCTAAAGAAGACCTGCTCACACGCGCGAATAAATCCGGGATCCGCCAATATTCGAGCTTCCGCGTGTCGCGCGCGCAATTATCCGTCGACGTGGCTGATGATAAGTGGAATCTTGGCAAACATTTCTGTATTGTCGCGCCTTAAAAATTTCTTATCCTTTTATAGGCTGCGCCATCTCCAAGTTTCCGCTGAAGAGTCTCTCCGAATGCACATGTCATCTCTTTCTCCCTCCCTCTCTGTGTGTCTGTCTTTTCTCCTATTTCTCAGGCGGAGAATGACATCGATCATTCCAATCTCGAGTTACCGATGTAACGGGGTAATGTATTACGCGGGAAAGCGTCAGTTACTTCATTAATGAGCGAATGCGGCTCTTACGCCGAGTATTTATGGACGCTGAAAGGTTGTCCGATTCAGGAAGGAATATTTAGCGGCGTAGAGACAGTTACGATCGATTATACGCGCTCCTTCGCCGCTTCGTCTTGCTGCGTGCGCGATTCGAACTCTCCGCGATCGCGCTCATGCGTGAATGCAGAATCGCTTAATTTTCAAACGCGCTGCGGAACACATCGCGGAAGGCACGGCGATACAGGCAGGCAGGCAGCCAGGCAGCCAGGTAGGCAAGCAGCCAGGTAGGCAGCAGGAAAGGACGACGTTGCCCATCTATCGCGTCGCGCCGCGCGTAATGACCGCTCTCGACCGAGTTTCTATTAATTCGCCGGGACACTTGATTCCCGCGGAATCGATTCATTTCCGAACGCCGTTCTACCTGGGAGTTTTTCCCCAGCCGCGGGAGAACCGGACCGCGTATCGCGACCCGCGCGCGGAGCACGCATATATTAATAACGCGCGGGGAAACATATGTTTCCTTTCAGCGCGAGGCTGTAGCAATTAATTCGGCCGGAATTGCCGCGCGCCGCTGATCGGCGAGATTGACAACACGCGCCGCGCTTATCGCACTAATTAAGATATCCGTGAGAGAGAGAGGCGTGAATATTTCAATATTTATACACACGTCGCGGGGCGTGTGCGCGCGTGAGGAATCAAAAACGGCGCTGCGTTCTCGACGGTAATTCTCCCGATCGGCCGGCTGTTCAGTACCTCCTCACACGTAATCCCGTTAAGTGTCATCGGCTCGTCGTCACTCTCTTAGCGTGTTCGTGCAATTTACGCGCGGCCGTCTTTTCTGCTGTGTGTTAGCTATTTGGAGAAGCAGCTAAAGAGAGAGGAAAAGAGAAGAAAAATGCACACGGGATACGACGATATACCCGGCCCCGTTAACATAAATCATTAGTTTATTCATTTATCGGCGGGGATTAAACCGTCCCGTTATGCAGTAATTATATTACCTACACGTACGAACACGCACAGGTGCGCGCGCACGCACACACACACGGGCCCCAACTGTAGCAATTGTGATTTAAATGGCGGATTAATTTCGACTGTATCGTTCATAGATCTCTTATTTTCTCCACTTCCTGCTTCGCCGTGGTCTTTTTTTCCTTTTCTTTTTTTCCCCGTCCCGTGTCGAGGGAGGAGGAAGAGGAGGGTCTCTCTCCTCGGCGGGAATCGCTTAATACCGAACGCGACGGTACACACCGCGGATAGAGAGGGATCTAGAGAGATAGGAGAGGAGAGGAGACGTACGTTCCGCTTTATCAGCGCATACGGCATGCCGCGGCGTGTTTCCATTAATTCGCGTCGCGGGGCGAACTCGTGCCGTTGGAATGCCCGTTGAAGCCGAGGAGAGAAGTCGTTAGGCTGCGTGCCGTTCGTTCGACCGGCAACCGGTTTTCCCATCGGTGATTCGTCGTTAATTCGCCGGCGGAGAGTAAGTAATCGCGCGCGTCGCAACGACCACCTCGGGTGTGTTACACGCCTGCGTTTACATCGCGCCAACCGCGCACGGGATCGTTCTCCTTTCCGCGATCCGGTCGGGGAAAGATTTCGAGCCGGGAAATCGGCACGGCCCCCGTCGCGGACAATGCACGCGAGCAGCCGCTCTCCTTGAGAACGGTAACGAATCGAAACGTACGCTGGTACATAAATAAAATAGTTGATCGGCGACGTTTCCTCCGAGAATGCTCCGCGAACTTTGCTTCTTACTCGTTACGCAATGCGCTTATTCTGTCACGGCGATGTCGTGATCGTCAGTCCCTTCGGGGACGTATTTATTACAATTCGAAGGATTTAATTTTAGAGTGACATAAAAGAAAATACGACATATCAATTATGTCAATCATGACGACATTTCTTTTTTTCTTGTTTTGGCATTTGGTGGTGAATTCGCAGTGCTGTTTGTTGCATATTTCTCTACAATGTCTGGATTATGAAGAGGAAACGTATCTATAGACGTATACATATATTTCAGTATTCCTGAAGAAGTGTCGATGCGCGATAAACAACTACATGGAAAAAATGTGCCGTTAAATCAATAAAATTAGTCAACAGTATCTTAAGCGGAATAAATCTCCTTGATACAATAATAATGTAATTGTAACTAATCTGGAGTTATTAAAACAAATACATCATATATTGTGGCTTATTTTGGAGTACAAAATTGTAAAATTATTAATTAACAATTTTATAGTCGGAAATTAATATCTTAATTCTTGATTGTTGTAGTCAATAATTAGAATTATAATAGAAAATATTTAATTAAGAATTGAAAATTGAATTTTCAATTAAAAATATTTAATTTAAAAATAAGATTTTTCCAATCTTTAATTAAATTTTATCAATTCAGAATTAAACTGTCAATTCTCAAATAAAAATTGAAGATTTAATTCTAAATTAAATATTTTAACTGAGAATTGAATACTTTAAATCTCGACTGAATATTTTCAATTGAGAAATAATATCTTTATTTGCAATTTAATTTTATGAATTAAGCATTAATTACATTAAAATGTTAATTAACTACTCACAACCCTGTTTAAATATTAGTTCAACGACATTGCTGTTAAATCAAAAAGTTATTCAAATTACAAGCGCTGTTGAGCCATTTTATTGATTCAACAGCATTTTCTTCCTGTGTAGCGTATGAAGTATTATATTTGCGCGACGATGAGTAGCACATATGTAAAAAAAAAAAATAATTGCGGATAGACCTGCTGATTTAATCGCGAAGTCAAACGTGAGAGAGTATCCTTTGTTTGTTTCGCGGCGATATTGTTGACACTGAAATAGAATATGCAAAACTGCACGCTGCCGTTTTACGCAACACGCCAAGAGACAATTGATCGACTTACCAAGGAAGTACGCCAGCATAGAACTGGAAGCTCTTTCTGAAACAAACAAACAGACACCGTTCGCATGAATTGTTTCGTCTTGAAAAAGTGGGATGCGCAACGGGGCACCCCGGGAAATGATGAACGCAAGGAATGAAAACAATTTAACGTGATACGATTTCGCGTGGTGTTCGCCACCTACGCGCAACACACAGAGAATTAGATGATATACGAGAAAGAGAATGAGAAAGAGAGAGAGAGAGAGAGAGAGAGAGAGAGAAGAGAGAGAAGAAGGGGAGGGAGGGAGAGAGAGAGAGAGAGAGAGAGAGACCATAACGATACAAAATCTTCAGAACGAGATTCTTGACTCGCAATGTATTGACTCTGCGCACGCTTTACAGGCTATGTGCGGCTATCGCTGTAGAATGAGGCAAAGTGAAGATATTCAATTATGTTTATTTTCCTCTTCTAATGGTTATCTTCTATAATATTACTTTTATAATAACCATATAGACTTTCATGATTATCACAACGTGAAACAATTGATTGATAGAAACTCCACAATCCTTTTTATTTACATTCATAAAATATACTGTATTAAATTAATCACATTCAATCTACATCGTACAGTAATGTTAATTTTGTGTTATATTAATGTAGTAACAAATTTACTCTGAAAGTTGCATTCAGATTTTCATATTAAATTTTTCACAACATATATCCCAATACAGTGGCATTATCACGCAATTAGTATATCTGTATCTCTGTATATATTTCTCTCTCTCTCTCTCTCTCCCTCTCTCTCTCTCTCTCTCTCTCCTTCTTTCTTTGTACGTATGTGTGTTGTATGTGTCAGTGTTGAGCATTAATTAATTAAAATTTTCTTCGATGTAACAAATTCTTTGATCAATGAAAACAGACTTTGATCTTGATTATGCACTGATCAATAATTCATTGCATCAATCGATGAAATTGTTTGTGAGTTTATATCAGACAATTTTGATTTATTTTGACTGCTGACTCTCCGACCTTTTTTTAGTCAAAGAAAGTTTTAATCAATCAATGCTCAACACTGGCGCGCATACAACACACACAGGGTGAAGCCGGCTTTGGCTGCGAGTCAACCCCCTTCGCCGGCGCGATTCCTCTTCGTCGAGTCGAGTCGAGTCGAGTCCGAAAGGCGAGTCGAACGCGAAACGTGAGAACGCGGGTCATCGCGACGCGGCTGCTTGTTACCACCCTTGGGAATTTTACGATAGCTTGGGCACTTAAACGCACGTTCACACTTTGTGTTCCGCGTAAGTGTCCGGACACTAAGGCGCACTTACTTACTTGCTTGCTTGCTTACTTACGTAGAAGCGATCGGCGGGCGCGCACACGCACGCACAGACACACATGCAGACACACATGCAGCCACACACGAACGATTCTCTACGTACGCGCGCGCGAGCAAATCGCCCAGACGAGGCGAGAAAGACACTCGTATTACGTGCACGCACGCGCGCGACGTGCCAGCCGTGTTATTATATTTTACTTTGGTCGACGCGGAAACCCCGGGATAATTTGCGCGAACGAGCCGCAATTATTTAAGGGTGTGCATACGTAACGAGGGTGGCTGTCTCTTTCTCCCTTTCTCTTTCACTCTTTCTCCCTTGCACGGCCGGTCGGCTGCAATAGGGCCCCGCGTTTCGCCGGACGCGCGGCCTCTATCGATTCGTGTCGCCATCGCCGCGTCGACGTCGACGAAGCCGTGAACTCGTAACTTCTTCCGAGAATTGCTACCTTTCTTTAAGTAATAGATATGCACGTCGACGCGGAGCGATGCTCGGCCGATGTTTGCTCTTCGCCCCGAGGAAACGTTCGCCATTTCGCGTTCGCCGGCGAGGCCAGAAATTCGAGCGCGGCCCGCAATGCCGATGTAATTCCGGGACGAGATCGAAGCGCGCGATTCGGAGATCGCGTGTAAGATCGTCTGCGCGAAAGTCGGTTGTCGGGGGGCGAGAGTGATACGAGGTCTCTCCTCGACGGAAGAAGGCGCGCACGGACGGACTAGGAATGTGTTACACATCGTGACAATTACATTTGTGTACAGTTTCAGTCACGAGGTGCAACCCGGTGCGCGAGAGCTCCCTCCAAGTTTATCGAGCAGGCGATATTATCGAGGGAGGGGATGATAATGGGGTTGGGTTGATTCGAGGGGTTAATTATGATCCCTCGCTCGCTATCACTGTTATATCCCATCATTATGAAGGGTCTCTTGCATTAAATTTTACTACAAGAAAAAGAAAAAAAATAGAGTGGAAAGCTATCAGGCTATTAAGATAAAAACTGTATTCCCCCTTTTACTTAGGGTCTGTAATTTTTTTTCTTTCTTCACTTCGACAGTTCCATTCTTTATTTTTATCAGGAACATAAAACGAATGTTACTGTGACGAATGTTATGTGACTGTGCTCTTAACATTCGTACGTTTAGATCGTTGTGTTTCAATTCGTCAGATATTGAAAGTACCCCAGACAGATATGCGTAAAATGAGCAGCTACTTTACAAGTCAATTTGCAAAGGTTGTGTCCTTTATGAATGCTTCATATAGTCCTTATATACATAGATATTATTAATTTTGTAGATAATAATAAATATATATAATATACTTTTTACTAGTATCTATTGCATAGAATGTGTGACAAAATAGAAATATAAAAAATGCAAAAAAAAAAGATCAAAATGTGTTTAAAACATGTGTAAAATGTAATATGAAGATCTGAGTATGACTTTCAGTAAATTTGTTACTATCGATATAACAAAAAACGTGCATTACATTATCGTACGAGGTAAATTTAATACAGTATATGTGCCTCATAAATATGAGTAAAAAATTTTTCAGAGCTCACGTCATTGATTGTCTCTTGATAAACATGAAAGTCTATCTGGATATCGCTGCCCAGGCAGGCATCACGTGGGTCTAAGAAAGTTAAAGAAAGTCAATAAGAATTTTTATCGGAAACACGACAATGTACATTCTTAGATGAGGATACATACCGGAAACCAATGAACCCCAAAGTCCGAGCCGAGGCGGCGCGATACTTCACACGTCGGGGAAATCCCGAATTACGAAAACTAAATTAAACGTTGACACGTTTACCAGAAAGAAAGAGAGACAGATCGTCCTCCTGTCGTGATCAAGCGCCGCGCGCTATTTCGCGCTGTATCCTTAAATCACGCGGTTTTCCAATCTCCTCTCGGCTCTACAAAAATACCAACTCGCCCAACTTATTCCGGGATCGACCGATAAACTTGGCGACCGACCGCCGAATACACGTAACTATTCGCAGCTAATGCTCACACACTGCTTCTAATCGTCGCACGTACGTCGGGCGGCTGAGTGTCCGTCGCCCTGCTGGTGTTTACATCCACGAATACAGACACACACACACACACATACGTACTGCAGAAGCAAACGTACACGCGGAAATCCCGTTACGTGTATTGGTGGGAATGCAGTGGGGCACACTAACGCCGGGGTGGTGTCGAGGGTAGCTGGAGTGGCTCGGGGGGTGATTATGAGCGAGTAAGTGCCGCCGTCCAGTTTTTACCCCCGCCGCCACCTCCGGCTGACCGTTCCTCCACCATCACGCGGCGGCAACCATCTCTCCCCCGTGCCTGCCCTCTCCGTCCTCTGGCTGCTAGTTCTCTCTTACCACCGACTCGACTAAACCCCTCAACGGATCAATACGCTAAAACATTGCCACGTCGAGAGACGCCGTGCGCCGCGTAAAACCCGAAAGAAATACCGTTGCGGGGGCGGCGTTTTCCTTTAGCCAGCGGCCACGGCGCGTCTCGTCCGCGTCCGCGCGGCTAACGAACTTCCGGTTTTTCGACCCTTTCACCGCCTCCGCGCCTCCCTGCCGGCCTTCTCCCCTGTCCCTCAGTCTTTCTCTCCCTCGCGTTGCTCGTCCGTCTTTTCTCATCTTATCTTGACTTAGTATACCTTTGTTTGGTCGGTAACCAAAATTTACGCAACGTGGATCTCTCATTAGGCTAGATCTGAGGGGATCTCGCGTGAGATTCCTGCGTTGTTTCTTCATGGAATTAGGCCGTTGGGAATTTATCTTGTTTACCGTCGGATTTAAGAGGTGCCCAGAACATATCGAATGGATCACTGACAAGGATCACAGGAATGCCGTGTTTCGTGAGCGCCTAAGTAATCGTAATGTTAAAACTTTTAATTTCTTATCGCTCGAGTAAACAACCTTCAAGCGCGCGCGCAATCATTCCAATTGTAAGCATGCCTCTTTATCGTTGAACACTAATGACTCAGAAAAATTCCCCGGAAAATTTCAGTAAAGGATCCATCAATGTCGCAGCACATCAAGGTAAACTGTCAAATGAGTGCACATACAGGGAATCTCAATCAACCTAGAGCCCGACGCAACCGAGTGGACGTGACGCGCAGCGCGATATTTCACTATCGACGCGCACAGTCGTAGCTCGCTCTTGAGGATAGAAAGAAGCTCGTGCTATCGATGGCGGACCTTCGAAGGGCACGAAAGACGGATGAACGGACGTCCGTGGCCTACCACAACCCACGTAAGGTACCGCATCCGTTTTCGCCCTTCGGCTCCCCCCTCCTCGCGAACCCGTACGCACCCACACGCCTACACACGTACGCGCGTTACGTACGTTCCACTCTCACGTGTGCTCGACATAACGTCGGCTTTCCGTGGACGGTCGATATATCGATTGCCGTCGACGAACGACCGGCTGGTCGACAACCACGAAGGTGAGAGCGCGCGCGAGAGAGACAGGGAGAGGAGCAAGAGAGAAGGAGCGAGAGAGACGGCCGGGAAGGGAAAGGAAAGGGGAGAGTAAAAGCGCTCATGGCTGTTGTTCGTGTATGTCTGCCCTGTGGTCACTTGTTGCCTGCCACCCCCGGGGGTTGGCCTTGTCCCTCTGTGTTTGGGGAACGCTTGTCGTTCGACCGCCGACAAACCGCTCGACGACCAAAGCATGCTACGAGATCTTTTTCCTCCGGTGGATTCGGTCGACGACTTCGCCGATA